TGCCCTTGCCGTACATATTGCATTGTCAGTCCTGCGGCGAACTTTTGTCCTACCGCAGTAATTACAATAAAAAATAACAATCATAACGCTAAGAATAATGACAGTAACAAGAATAACAGTAATAATGTTGTGAGTGCAAGATGGATTGTTGCATCTGAGGCATGGGCACCAGCCAGGGCGGTCTCCACCTCATGCTAGGCTGAATTCCCCTAAACCCTAAACCCTAAATTCCCGGCTAATAAAATCCATAGGAGCCCCACAGACTCAAACATGCGCGGCTGAATGGAGCCTGCAGCTAGGAAAGAAAAGCCCAAGTCAGAATATCCTATGGTCTCCTTTAGTCTAGCTAAAAGTTAACGGTGCGGACACCACTGGCACTTTGTAATGATTACCTACCCAGTCCTTAAACGCAAAAACTCTAAGTACTCCAGACCCATACTCCGTAACCTTAATTAAAGGGCCTCCAAAAGGGGGTACCCCTTAGCCGCTTGTACGGGGATGTCCCTGGGGTATTCGTATAAGTCAAATCTCTCAAAATCTATCTCCCTATATCCTTTCAATCTGTGATTGATTTTTGTCTTCCATCCTTCTCTCCGTAAAGCCCAAGCCTTTGCCCTCAAAACCCCAAACGCTGCAGGCTGTGCCCCCTTTAAAGCTTAAACCCTATATGAGCTATGACTAAGCTTCTTTAATCCCCCTTAATAAGCCCTGTAGTGGTCCCCTATATAATCCCCTATACAACCAGCCCTTCAGGATTTTAGACTATGGCTATACAAGCCCTATATGGTAGTTTGCCTAAAGTAGGTGGACCCCAATATAGACCCCCGTAATACTATGATCATGATTATGGGGACCCCCTTCAAATGGTACCCCTAATTTTGGGAAACCCTAAACCCTAAACAGAAACTTCCATTTTCTGTTCCATTCTCCCGATATAATATATAACCCTACATGCCCAAATCTTTGGGAAATCCTCATATGAGCCATAGTCTCAACTTCTAGTATCCCCCTTAACAGCCCCTATAGTGCTGCCCCATATAATCCCCCATGTAACCGCCGTACGGGAGTTTAGACTAAGGTAATATGAGCTCTATATCGTAGTTTTCCTAAATTAGGAGGACCCCAATATAGACCCCAAATATTATCATCCTTATTCTGGGGGCCATCAAAAAAAGGTGCCTTGAATTTGGGAAACCCTATAACTCCCACATACCCCTAGATAACCCCTATAACATACCCTCTAAACCCTAAACCCCAATATTATCTACCCCTATATAACCCTAGGAAACCCCTATAACTAACGCTCTCTTGGGGCCAGGCTGACACCTTCGAGACAGCTGGGGCGATGTCCGCTACTCCGCCACGGTAGCTCTTGACAGCCTGGCTTCAGATCCAAGGAGAATATGGGGGGACTATAGGGTTTAGGGTTTAGGATTTAGGGTTTAGGGTTTCAGATCCAAGGAGAATATCGGGGGACTATAGGGTTTAGGGTTTAGGGTTTAAGATCCAAGGAGAATATGGGGGACTATAAGTTATACGGGAGATATATGGTAGTTTCCCCAAATTAGGGGTACCCTTTTGGGGGTCCCAATAACAAGGATTGTATTATATTAGGGTCTATATTGGGGTCCCGCTATTTTGGTAAATTACCATAATATAGGGAGCTGGAGGAGAAGCGGCAAAGAGGGCAGAAGCAAGGAATCTGCAACCCTGGTCAGGCCTTGAAGATCGTGGCGGTGCCGCCGATAGGAATGCGCTTAAAGACAGTAGACATGACCTCGCGCTGCAAGCTGCATGCCCCTCACATCAGAAGGAAAGCCAACTGGGTTTCCATTTCATTTTCCATTTTCTTTTCCATTTGATTCTCCATTATAGGGGGATAATCCCTTGATTTAAGTTCCTTAACAGCAACCCAGGAAAGTTATGGGTCTATGCCAGCCTGCCTTCGAGGTTCCTCAGCCGTGCCAATCCCAGGAATGCTCTGTGCAGCTAAGCCGAAACGTTTGCGGTCCAGGTCGTAAGTCCACATGATACATGCCAGGATCCGTAAGCAAAGGCAAGATCCACTAAGTCGTGCGACCGCAGCGGTTGCCTCAACCTACATGCATTGCGCGCCTCGCCCTTGGCATTCTTCTCCTCGGCACCTTTGAACCTTTAGCATTGTAAGACAAGCGAATTTACCTGTCATGAACAAATGGAGATACTCGGCACTGTGAGCTAGGTCTCCGGCTCTCCCTTCTCCTGCAAAATCTGATATCAAGGAAGGCCCCTTTCACTGGCTTCAAGATTTCACAGCATACTCGAAAAGTCGTACTCATGTGCATATTTCATCATTGAGGCCAGGGCTTTTTGACGGAGTGCAAGCACATGACCGTGAAGGGCACCGCAGCCAGCACAGCACTACAGGCTAGGCTGGGACAAACCCTTGGAAGTGTGCGTGCAAGAAACGGCCGATACTTTTGCTTCAGCCCACTGCGGACCAGATCTCTCGTTCACTTCCAATATGCTGCCCCCCCAGGCTTTCCCTGACACCGGCGCCTCGTCATCGGCCCCTTCCTCCACACCCTCCTTTCGGTACTGAAGATTGAACCTGGCAATTAATAGTAGTTTCCCAAATCAAGGGGTCCCCAATATAGACCCCAATATACTCTCATTCTTGTTATGGAGACCCCCCAAACAAGTGCCCCTAGTTTGGGAAACCCTTAACCCTAAATAGTAGCTTCCACTTTTTTCCGTTATCCGTATATAGCCCCCCATGTCCCTATATACCCCAATATACCACAAACCTTATTATGGGGACCCCCCAAAAATGCCCCTAATTTTAGACCAACATTCCTGCAAGACTCGCTGACATGGCTCCTGCTTGCTGAGCCTCAACTGAGCTATAGTCTAAACTCCTTAAAAGGAGCTATATAGGAGATTATACAGGGGACTACTTTAGGGTCTTATTAAAGGGGATGCTAGGAGTCTAGATCCTAAACCCCAAACCCTGCACTATAGGGGGTATTAAGGTGGATACTAGGAGGTTGGACTATACCTCAAATAAACAGCATGTGAGTTTGGCCTGATGGGACCATTGAAGTCCAGCTGAATCCTCAGCAGTTCACGACCAGCACACAAGCACTGTCCCTATCTGCAAGGAGCAGCCTCGTCTGGTGCTACCAAAGCTTTAGCGCATCTTTTCTGAGATGGTTCATCCTCAAGTCAGGATGGTGTGACTCCCCAACGGGTCCAAAGCCCTCGCGTCGGGGTTTATTCAAAGGAACGTATATACATCCAGGTTGACGAATTAAATTTTGCTTGAAAAACAGCACTTTACTCCTCACTGTACTCTGGTCGGTGAGATCTCAAAATCCACCGCCCAAAGGCGCAACCCCTCATTCGGGAATCGCAGCGGCAAGAGACTCAAGGCTATGCGGCAGCAAGCCCGCTCTGCGGATAGCATCAACTATGCACCGCTGAAGAGCTTCCAGCGCATCATCTGAGCAATGACGCACGACAGCCCTAAGCTTGCCCCTGCTGTACTCAACATGCCAGCTGCCTCTGCGGTGCAGAGCATGGCCGACAACCAAAAGCTACACTGTGGACATTCATCGGGCTTTTCATCCTGAGCACCGGCGTCACTCAAGCAGCGAACAACCTCCAGATGACCATTCCTGGGTTGGTGTAAAGGAACTTCATTCAAGTTAATATATTGGGGAAACCCTATTATTTGTGATATACCCATAATATGGTACCTTGATTTAAGTTCCTTAACAGCAACCCAGATTCTCCGAGGCCACTGACAAAGGGGAGGATCCATGCTTGTCGGCCTTCTCCGTATCTGCGCCAGCTGCAATGAGGTAGCGCACGGCGTCAAGATGACCGTTTTCTGCGGCAGCCCACCTCTAAGTTCCCTGAACACCTGGTAGAAAATCTAATTTCAGCCGGGTATTACGACTATAGATAACAGAAATGAAGCAGTATTTTAAAGGAAGGTTGTTTGGATTATAGGGAACAGAAATGGAAAAATATTTTAAAGAAACTTTCAGCCACAAGGGTGATCGCCCGTTGTGGTCTGTTTGGTTCCTGTCTGCTCCAGCGTCGATCAAGGCTGAAATGATCTGCATCCTGCCGCTGCCAGCCGCAGCCACCAAAGCTGTGCTACCCACCCAAGCAGTTTCGTTGGGATCTTGGCGCACTGCCAAAAGTGCCTCGACTTCATCAGCCATTTTCGTGATGGCTGCCTCTACGAGCTCTTCGGCTCTACCCCGGCACAATGGCAGAAGCACTAGCTGCAGATCTGCAGGCATCCTCAAATCCCCCAAAAGTTCATCATCGCGTAGTAGCCGGCCATTATGTGCCAACTGCATTCGGTATCTAGACTGCACCAGCTTCACCTGGCTTGCTGCCAAAAACACTTAAATTAGGCATTAATCACTATTTATACCCATTGTGGTAACTCAATTTAAGCTCCGTAAATCCCGATAGTACCCCAGTTTCCATTTCATTTTCCATCTTCTTTTCCCTTTGATTCTCCATTATAGGGGGATAATATAGCTCAACTAAAAAATCCTAAGCCTTAAACCCTAAATCCTAAACCCTAAATCCTAAGCCCTAAACAGTAAATCCTAAACCCTAAACAGCAACCCAGTCACTTGCAAGTGCTGCTTCAGGGACTTGATGGATGCGCCACGGCTGACCAAGAGCTCCTCCAGCTCCATAGCAGACAAAGTGGCTACGGGCTTGCCTCAGATAGGGGTTTAGGGTGTAGGATTTAGGGTTTAGGGCTTAGGGTTTAGGATTTAGGGGTTTAGGGTTTAGGATTTAGGGTTTAGGATTTAGGGTTGAGGGGTTTAGGGATTAAGGGTTTAGGATTTAGGGTTTAGGGTTTCGGGATGTTACCCAATAGCGGAGAATCAAATGGAAAAGACAATGGAACATGAAATGGAAGTCGGGATTATGGGTTATATTAGGGTTATATTGGGGTTGTCCAGAGATAGTAGGAAAGAACATGGAAACTACAGCAATATACTAGGGTAGCTGTAGGGTTATATAGGGGTTCTACAGGGATAATGGAAAAGAACTGGAAGCCACTATCTAAGGTTTAGGGTTTCCGGCCTTCCCAGATGGGATTATCTGGGGGTTGAGGAGGGAAGGCGTACCCCCCCCCCGGAAATTCCAACAACCGGCTACATGATGCATGTCCCTGGAATATAAAATGTTGCTGTGGTGGGAACATTCATTACGGGGTTGGGGGGTTTCATGATTTGATAATTTCCCAAAATAACGGAACCCCAATATAAACCCCAAAATACTATAATCCTTCATATAACGACGCCCAAAAGGGTACCCCTAATTTTGGGAAACCACCATTTTAGGATGCCTTCGCTGTAAGCCTCTAAGCGTGAAGTCAAAAGCGAGAAAAAAGACGCGTTGGGTCCAAGCTGCCCGACAGCATGACGATCCGCAGCATGTTCATTGCAGTTGCCTCTAATTCACTAAACCGGCACGTTGGCCAACGTCGGGCGCCAGGAATGGATACAGCTGAGGACCTTAAATCCTTCTCTACTCAATTCAGAACAGCTTTTAAGAATCTTGTACCTACTTCACTGGTACCAGCACTACGCGCTACGCGTAGTCGCGCCCCGCCTTATGACGCCGGAGCCTGATTTGCTCCTAGATTAAATTTGAGCCACAAGTTGCCCGCCCTCGTTTCACGTGAACATCATGGGTGTCATGTGAGCTATGAACTCCTAGTATCCCCCTTAATAACCCCTATAATGCTCCCCTACAAAATCCTCTATATGATAACTTCCCGAAGTAAGGGGGACCCAATCTAGTGGTACCCCTAATTTTGGGAAACCCCCATATAACCCTTTAAGGAGTTTAGACTTCAGGTCATGTAAACTTGGATAAGCCGGGCTGAAGACGTTCCACACTGGTGCTTACGCTTCATCGCATCCTGCAACCTGCGGAGGGTTTAGGGGGCTATACATAGGAGCTTCCTAAAGGGGGGTGGCGGGGGCGGGGGGGGTGCTTTTTTTCGGGGGCCCCATAATAAAGGTCATATAGGGGTATATATGGTTATATATGGAAAATTAGGCTATACATGTGAGTTTCCTAAAATTGGGGTTACATAGGCTCACATAGGCTTGTATAAGGATAATGGAAAACAAAATGGAAGCTACTGTTTAGGGCTCTGGATTGCATAGGCCCTCTTCTAAGGGTTTCTATAGGGATAAGGGGAAAGAAAATAGAAGCTACTATTTAAGGTTTAGGGTTTAGGGTTTCCAAAAAAGTAGGGGCAGCTCCTGGGGGGTCCCCATTTTAAGGATTACAGTATTTGGGGACTATATCGGGGTTCTGCTATTTGTGGAAACCACCACGTGAGGAAGCACCTAAGTCTTCTCAGATACTTTCTTTACATAACCCTTATAAACCCCACTAGAGATCCCTGTATAGCCCTATTTACTCCCTTATATACCTATCTACCCCCTGAGGGGTTTGGATCATTATCGGACCCTAATCCCTAAACCCTTACCCCTAATCCCTAAACCCTAACCTCTGATCATTAATCCCTAAACGCCAAACCCTACAGCCCCCCTTAAGTAGATAGAATATGGCTTTGGGTATATTAGAATAAGATCCCTATATATCCTGATTTCTATCTACTTAAGGGGGACTGTAATCCCTAACCCTTACCCTAAGCCCTTATCCCTAAACCCTAAACCCTAAAACCTCAATCCTAAACCCTAAATCCCTAAACCCTTACCCTAAGCCCATATCCCTCAACCCTGAAGCAATTCGCCGAAGCCTTAGGTCGGCTTCTTGTCCAGGCGAGCCACTTGAGAAAAGCTTTTTTCGGTCCTATGAACTGCAACTAAAATCGAAACTGTCTATATAGAGGAGTTTATACTATCCACCCCTACATAAAAATAGCTCCCCTTCCACTTTCCATTTTCTTTTTCATATGATTTTCCAACCCCTGTTGAACCCAACTTTGCTGCGGTGCCTCCCGCCCTAGGAGCGGCAAATCTGGACTGTCTACTTGGAGGGTCAGGGGGACTTAGTAAGTAGGGTCATAACCCCTACAACCCATATAGTAACCCCAATCCCCATTATTAACCTAGTTACTAAATCCCCCTGACCCTCCAAGTAGCTTGTATGCTGAAGCTTCTGCCAGGCTGTTCAAGCTAAGCGCCCGTGGCCCTGGTCTGCTCTTCCCGCCAAATTGGGACTTGTCCGTTCAGCCGCTGCTGTCTCTTCCACATGTTTCAAAGCTCGGCAACTGAGTCAGGGGGCTTGTCGTTACGATTCTAAGTTGTTTCCATTTTCTTTTCCACTATCCCTATATAAACCCAATATATACTTTATAATCCCTATATAAACCCAATATATACCCTATAATCCCTAGAAACTTGACGTTGATCGCCCTCTAAGGCACCATGGCTAGAGTGGCAAATTCAGAATGTTGGTAGCATGTTCAAGTTCTTCCGTCAATACTCGCTGGCCTGATGTCGATCTTCGGACCTGAGATGGGGGCACGGCCTTTCACCTGCTTTGCCTGCATGTTTAGAAGGCAAAGCCGGGTCGTTTAAGTGACACGTTCGGATGCTGCACTTGCAGGAGGGTGCGCAAAAAAATCCTACAGGGACCCTTAGTGGGTAACACAGACTACAGATTTGGTAGCCGCGGCAACTTGTGCAGCCAGGCAGCCATAAAAGGCGCCGTCGCCGGGATTCAGCGACCTTGCAGTCAGTCAGTGCTTCCGTGCAGGATGAGCATATGGTAGTTTTCCTAAATTGGGGGACCCCAATGTAGATCCCAAAATGTTACAATCCTTATTATGGGGACCCCCAAAAAAGATACCCTAATTTTGGGAATCCCCCATATTGGCTGTGACTCGAGACATCTTCCAGGCGACTGGCCACTCTCGCCCCGACTCATCCAGCGCTGCCTGCTCACAGCCAAGAACACAGAATAAATGAAAGCGGGAAGCTTTATTAACCGCTTTACAATCTCAGATTCCATTTCATTTCCATTCCATTTCCGTTTCCATCTGATTCTCCATTCTTGGGGTAATGCCCCTAAACCCTGAGCCCCAAACCCTAAATAGTAGTTTCCATTTCCTTTTCTATCATCCTTACATAATCCTATGTAATCCCTATATGGCCCTTCAACAATCTTTATGGCCCTCTATAACTTGTGTACAATGCCTGTATATACAATCTTTAACAACCCCATACAACTCCCAACCCCTTCAAGGTCCAGGAAGATGGCGAAAATCCTATAATCCCTAAATATTAGTTTCCATATTCCTTGCCACAGCCTATATAACCCTATAGAATCCCTGTATCAAAAGTCCAGGAAGATGGACAAAATCCAGACTGTTCCCCGAAACCCTGAACCCTAACATGGAACCCTACTTGGAGGGTCAAGGGGACTAACTAAGTAGGTTAATAACCCTTATAACCCATATGTAACCCCATTTATCCCAATTATTAGCCTAGTTACTAAGTCCCCCTGACCCTCCAAGTACACCCTAAATCCTAGACCCTTGTGCCATGCCTTGAGCTGGACTTCTGCATTGTCCCAGATCTCTTTGGAGCCGAGCGCCTTTTTTGGCCTTGCATGGTATAATAGTAATGTGGGGCTCAGGGTCTAGGAATCAGGGTTTAGGGCTTAAGTATCCACTGGGTTCTGCCTCCACCCAATAGCAGCTATATGTAATTATATCATGAGTAGTGTCCAACTGTTGATGAGGGGGGCAGGACCCAACTAATAATAATAATGATAATAGTAGCAGTACTACTATGAATTTAGGGTGTAGGCTTGAGGGTAGTAATGATAAAAATAGAAATAATGATAGCAACAGTAACGGTAACAATAAAGACAATAACGCACTCCGGATTGTCTGGACACTTCACAGAGGTTCTACAGGCGTGTTAGGCGTATTTATTATACGAGCTACTGTCAATATATCCTACATACTTTAATGGACAATCCTACCCCGCCCCCCTACCACCAAAACCACACTAATATTAAACAATAAATTCAGGTGCCTAAAAATCCAGAAGACTACTTTTAAAAGGGGAAGACTACTTTCAAAAGGGGCCACCCAACATTGAATTAGGGGGGGTTGAGGTCATTAGGGGGGCTGCAAAAAAATGCAAAGGAATTAGGGATTAATTAACGGAATAATAACCAATAAATAATTTGATTCTTTAAATCAATTCAAATAGTTCATGAAATTCATTAAAATACTCAAATTAATTAAGCTATATAATCAATCGTTGCATTCACATAGATTGTAAAAGGATTTCAAACGCAGCCCTGTCTAATCGTTTTAATAATTAAGAATTTTTTCGCGGCACGGGATATTCAATGTTAGGAGGGGAGCGTCGTTTAATACTAGGGGGAAGCGATTAAACTACTCGGGGGACTACGCCCACTATAAACGGTCCTTTAAACAGGCTCATATAAACGGTAGCTCATGTAGGGATTCTGGGGGTATGCAGGAGTTATGTTGGGATTACATAGGGTTTATGGTTATATAGGGATTCTAGTGGTATGTAGGGGTTATTTTGGGATTATACAGGGTTCATGCGTAATACCCGAGCATCAGCATGCTGAGCCCCCACAGGGGCAGAACAAATGACTCCCAAACTGCCAGGCCTCGTGGAAAGGGCATAGCTAGCCTGAACGAGGGTGAGGTTTTGCC